CTTAAAAGGGACAATTACTTCTCTTTATTCACCAAAGCCAGCGTGGTTCAGGTTTGTTGCTCATTAACCCACCAGGTTTGTATTAACTGCAGCAGCAGGTTCTCCATTAACCGCACAGCAGCTCCGGCTGTACCCAAATAGGTTTTGCTAGCTAGAGGATAAACTGAGTGTGGCAAGACACAAAACATCCTGCTTAAATATATAGGGAGAAAGGAGGGCTGTTCAGCTACAAAGGACAAGCGTTCCTTTGGCATTCAGTCCCTGGCCTTCAGAAGCAAGCAGCAGGACACAGAAGAAGGCAACTAAAGTTTTCGTATTTTTTTTCCTATAGGTAATTTTTGACTTACAACTGGCCTGTTAACAACTGTTTCAAGTTATGCCAGATCCCAGGTTTGAAGGTAGTTATGACCCAGATTTGATGTTCCCATTGTACGTGTTGCAAGAATTATCCCTCTGGGTTCAGTTCCAAGTGGGAAAAAGACACTGGAAACATGGAGGCTGCTTGGAAAGATGATTTAATGGTGGACAGGATCACATGGCTTGGAACTCCTGAGCGAAAAGTATGATCACATGCTTCAAGATGTTGGGTGAAGGAAAAGAAGGGCCAAGATGCTGAGAGTCCTTTAGTTATACACCCTCTGTTAGGCCCCACCTTAGTGTTTCCTGTTCCTGTGTAAGAAATGTATCCCATTGGCGGTCAGACTCCCAGGGGTGGGGCTCTGAGCTGGACCACATGGCTTCACCTGAGTGCTGCCTGATGCAATCTTCCCAGGCCATGTGGTGAGATGGATAGAGGCCTTTGTTATGTAGAATACTTTGGCCTTAATGGCCCACCCATTAACAAAGTTGGGGGGGGGGGTAAGCTTCTGCCTCTCTGAGTTGAGTTTTGCTTCTGAGTTTCTACTTCTCTTTTTAAGGGAAATATTCTGCCTTTTTAATATTTCTTAGGATATTTCATTTTTCTAGAAGAGGGGTGGGTGCTAACTTCCTATATAGGAAGCCCCCAACTTCCCTACATTAAAATATGTTTTTATTCTTAATATTAAAAAGAGGCCGGATGGAATATTTTCCACAAAGGAGAAATGGAGAAAAATCTGAACAAAAGTAGAAAACAGCCTCAGTCTTCCTGCCATAGGTAAACAGCCTCAAGCAGGTTGAAGAGGCTGGTCTCTTGGAATGGTGATTTTATTCCCATTCAGAAAGACTGGGCCAATCTATTCATAAGCAAAGAGGCTCCAAATAAGCAACACCATTAGGCAAGCCAAAACTGACAAGATTAGCTCAGAAAACCACCTAGGATTTGCATTTCTCCTTTTGCCTGTAGAGCCAGGCATGACCCCTACATGACCCTGCAGGAATCTGACAACACCAGCCATTAAAATATTAAAGGATACATCCTTACTCAGGAACAGACATCTCAATCACAAAGCCCCAAGAATGTATAAAAGACCACCTGTCCCAACCCCATTTTGTCAGCTACCCAGAAACATGCTGTTGTCACTGAAGTTTCTGGCATCCAAATAAACAGAGACCTTCTTTCCTTCATCCAGCCTCCATTTTATTTCCAGCATCTTTTTCCTGGCTTGGAACCGGTCCAGATTTTTCTTTCAACACCATGTCCCCCAGTCATGTGATTGCATTTTGGGAGCTGGGCAAGCAGTTCACATTTTCAGCCATTTGCAGCTTCCCACGGCCATATGACCATGATTTATAACATTTTTTTTTTGCCAGAAACCATTGTTTATTTCTGGTTTCCTGCAAAACAACTGCCAGGTTTCTTTAATGACCATCGAAAAAACCACAAAATCGGGCATAGTCTATTGATGACCGGAATGACTTTCGACCATAATTCTGGGCTCAGTTATGGTTGAAATTTGAGGATTACCTGTAATTTTATAATAAATAAATATTACTAAGATGACGATGATGAAAAAGGAGAAAAAGAAACAGTAGAGGCAAACAAACCACAGCCACATTCTTTTAAGGCTGATAGATAGGATAGGATGGAATGGGATGGGACAGGATAGCAATAGCACTTAGACTTATATACCACTTCACAGTGCTTTACTTTACAGAATCAGCCTATCGCTCCCAACAATCTGGGTCCTCATTTTACCCACCTCAGAAGGATGGAAGGCTGAGTCAATCTGGTGAGATTTGAACTGCCAAATTGCAGTCAGTCAGCAGAAGTAGCCTGCAGTACTGCATTCTAACCACTGCGCCACCGTGGCTCATTAGGTCTTCCCTAGTGCTACCCAACTGCAAGGAGATTAGGTCTTTAGTGAAGATATGACCAAGCCATGAAGGGCAGGCATAGGCAGGAGAGTGAAGACTGAAAGAAACTCAAAACAGCCCTGCCTTGACTTTATTCCATATCAGATAGTCAAAGAGAAACTAGGACAGGTTTCGAGATTCTCTAATTGTACCCTTCATCAATCAAGTAGCATTCCTAAAATAGAGTCCATGTAATGTTTCTTGATCTGACCAACCTCAAAGGCATGATGATAGTATAATCTCCCAGCAGCCCTTGACTTCATGGAAGACTAATCTTTCCTGTTCTCATCTGATCTGAATTTTTTTGCCGATGAGTAGGACTGGCAGAGTTCCCAGGAATTGGAGTCCACACCTCTTAGAGTTGCTAAGATTGAAAAATACCACCCTGTGCTGCTTCTTCCTCATTTTTTGAATCTTTCTTCTTTTTTTTTCTCAACTCTCTTCACATATTTTTTTCAGGTTTATCTTTTATTCCGGTAAAAATCTTTAATAAATATTATAAATAAGAGTGCTTATAAACAAGTGCCACTGGCTTTTCTCTCAACAATAAATCATCATGACCAGTGGTGGGATTCAATTTTTTTTTTACTACCGGTTCTGTGGGCGCGGCTTGGTGGGCGTGACCCCGAAACAATGCAACCATCATAATTATGAGCCAGTTGCCAAGCATCTGAATTTTGATTGTGTGACCTTGGAGATGCTGCAGTTACTATAAGTGTGAAAAACAGTGGTGGGATTCAATTTTTTTTTACTATTGGTTCTGTGGGTGTGGCAGGGGGAAGGTTACTACAAAATCCCCATTCCCTCCCCACCCCACTAACCTGCTTTCCAGCTCTGTTCTCCTGTGCAGGGCAACAGAAGAAGATCCAGCCAATCAGCTGGGACTCGGGGGGGGGCAGAGAATAGATGGGGGCGGGGCCAGTCAGAGGTAATGTTTGCCGGTTCTTCAAACTACTCAAAATTTCCACTACCGGTTCTCCAGAACTGGTCAGAACCTGCTGAATTCACCACCTCTGATCATGACCTGCCTTTAGTACTGTAAATATAGGTAGTCCTTGACTTACAACAGTTCATTTAATGACCGTTCAAAGTTACAGTGGCACTGAACAAAGTGACTTTCAATCGTTTTTGCACACTTACGAGTGTTGCGCCATCTCCCTGGTCACACGATGAAAATTCAGATGCTTGGCAATTGATTCATGTTTATGACAGTTTGAGTGTCCTGGGCTCATGTGATCATCTTTTGTGACCTTCTGACAAGCAAAGTCAATGAGGAAGACAGATTTACTTAACAACTGTGTTACTAACTTAACAACTGCAATGATTGCAGTTGAGCGATAAAGAAGCTTCTTGCATGAGAAGCAAAACATCTTCAAAGAAAAAACCAGAAAGTCCAGTTGCCTCTGTTGGAAGAAATATCGTTCTGGGTTCAGTTCCAAGTGGGGAAGAAAGACACTGGAAACATTGTGGCTGCTTGGAAAGATGGTTTAATGGTGGACAGGAACACATACCTTGGGTGAAGAAAAAAAGGGCAGAGATGCTGAGAGTCCGTTGGTTTTACAACCTCTGTTGGGATTTGAATTTGAGCTTGTATTCTGATTGGTTGTCAGACTCCCATGGGACCATGCAGGGGCAACTCTGTAGGCTGTCCTGAGTCCCAGGCTTGGTTGCTGGATGATGATGTAATGAAAGGGCTTTGGGCAATTCTTATTATAGCACTACCTGGAGTAGATCTTTGTTATGTAAAATAGACTAGCCCAGACCAGAGTAATGGTCCATTAGCAAAGTTGGAGCTAAGTTTCTGCCTCTGAGTTTCTACTTTTCTTTTTAGGGGAAATATTCTGTATTTTTGTATATCCTAAAATATTTCATTTTCATAGGAGAGGGATGGGTTTTAACTTCCAACACCTCTTCAAAAAGTACCTTTGGGACAACCATGACCTGGATGACTGAGAATCTCCATAGACAACTGCAGTGATTTACTTAACAACTGTGGCCAGGAAGGTCGTAAAATGGGGCAAAATTAATTAAACAAATGTCTCAGCAACAAAAATTTGAGGCTCAATTATGGTCGTAAGTCGAGGATTCATTCTGTATGGAAGATGAACTTCACTTTAATCCACTAGAGGGCGCACTGTCGCTGCCTTACTTACATCTTACATCTTCGCTGGTTGCTGGCAATATAGAGATAGAAAAAGACAATTTTCGGTTATAATAACTTTATTTGATCCCCCCCACCCGAAAAGACAAAGAAATTACACAGCAGATAAAAAATTGAATGTGCGAATTTTGCTTTTAATCTGACTGAGCAACAGGTTTAATATTGTTAACTATTCTTGTCCTCTTTTTCTTTCCAATTAATGTTTCCCAACCTCAGGCATTTAAAGATTTGTGGATTTAAATGGAGTATTCTTGGAATTGAAATCCACATAATGGCTAAAATTGGAAAACACTGGGTTAGACTCTGAGGATTGGGACAACTAAAAAAAAAACCCTGACGCTTCTTCCTCTTCTCTTTTTAAAATAATAATATGAACCTCTAAAATAGAGCAATCTTACTCAATCTTGACACTTTTAAGACGTGTGGACTTCAATTCCCAGAATTCCCCAGATAGCATGGTACATGATGGTAAGAGGGGGTTCCTCTACTTTATTCCTATCTCTATATTATTCTTATGTCTATGTTGTCCAAAGACGACTTGTGGAGACCGACTGGAAAGCCAGTACTGCGCATGCGTCTTGAGGAGGCTGGGTAAGAGAATTTACAAAGGTTGCATCTTATAAACGGGGAGCTGCAATACGCGGGGGCCGTTTGGAGAGTGGGCGTAGGCCCGTAGGGCATAAATTGGGAGGGTTGCAGAAAGATGCATGCTGGATGAAAACAAAACATTAAATTGTCACACCAAATGCCCAGGAGACTGCTCTGCAGTCCGGCCTTGCAAACATAGGCGGATTTTTTTTTTTATAAACTGAGGGCGAATTCTGATTTAGTAAATCTCTATTGCTCAAGTTAGGGGTTTGTTTTGTTTTTTTGTAAATTTAGTTTTAAACTGGCTGAAATTTTGTAGCTTCACTTCACTCCTTCACATGCCATGAAATCTTGCCAAGAACTCATGAAGATTGGGGGGTGGGGGCAAGAAATGCCAAAGTCATAAGATTGGGGCCAAGAGTTTTTTTTTTTTTTTAACCGTCTGCAAACCTATAATACTTTTCTCTACCTTAAAGCATAGATTGAAGTGTGGCACAGAGCAGATTTCCAAGAAGCTGAAGAATCGCTACTTGTTTCAAAATTCAGAACTCCACTTTAAGTAAAAAAGTTCGTCTTGGAAGGATAATTTGATGTAAAAGTTCCCACATTAATATAAGAAGACAGGTGTAGATAAGAAAGTATGCATGTGGAAATGCATGGGTGCAAATCTAATCCTCCCTCCAAACACTGTCCTTGACTTACAACCATTCGTTTAGTGTCTGAAGTTACAACTGCACTAAAAAAATTTTCACCAGAGGTGGTATTCAGCAGGTTCTGACCAGTTCTGGAGAACCAGTAGCAGAAATTTTGAGTAGTTTGGAAAACGGACAAATACTACCTCTGACTGGCCCCGCCCCCATCTATTCTCTGCCTCCCGAGTCCCAGCTGATTGGCTGGGTCTCCTTTGGTTGCCCTGCACAGGAGAATGGAGCTGGAAAGCAGGTTAACGGGGTGGGGAAGGAATGAGGATTTTACAGTAGCCTTCCCCTGACATAGCCCCCAAGCCACGCCCACAGAACCAGTAGTAAAAAAATTTTGAATCCCCCCACTGTTTTTCACATTTATAATAATTGCAGCATCCCTAAGGTCACACAATCAAAATTCAGATGCTTGGCAACTGGCTCATAATTATGATGGTTGCATTGTTTCGGGGTCATGTGATCCCCCTTTGCGACCTTCTGACAAATCAATGGGGAAGCCACTTAACAACTATATTATTAACTTAGCAACTGCAGTGATCCATTTAGCAACTGTGGCAAGAAACATAATAAAATGGGGCAAAACTCACTTAATAGTTATCCTGTTTAGCAACAGAAATTTTGGGCTCAATTGTGGTCCTAAGTCAGAGATATCCAAACTTGGCAACTTTAAGACTTGTGGACTTCAACTCCCAGAATTGAATGGGAGCTGAAGTGCACAAGTCTTAAAAGTTGCCAAGTTTTGAGACCTCTGTCCTATTTTGAGGACTACCTGTAAAGCTAATAGGAGCAAACAGGCTATTCTGGGAATTGCATTTTCAGTCCTTGGTCTTTCTTCTCAAAACCTTTAAAAAAAAGTTCACTCTATTTTAAATAATTCCCCCAGGTACAGTGCTTGTCTCTGTCTTTATATAAGGTTGCTTCCTACTCCACCATTTTACCTCAGTATAATGAGTCACGTAGAAAAAAAAAGGGAGGCAGCCCACAGATTTGAGCTATGATTCCAAAGTGAGAAAACGTGACATTTGCATGGCAAAATCTAGTTTTTTTGTGTGGGATATACAGTTAGGTAGTTAATCCTGTGGAATTGGGACTTTCAGCCAATCAGATGAAGAGCGGGGACCAAAAAAAAGTATTCCAAGGTGGGTGTCGGTTCAGAGTTCCTTTAGAAAAATGGGTGGCTTTATAAGTTTGCTTAATAAATAAAGTGACAAGTAAGGGCGATATCGCCCACCCACAAAACACACCCATACCTCTACCATTGTACTCTAGATGTATTTGCTGCATGATTTTTAATACAATTACAATTTTGTAACAGGCTGGAACAAATGAGTAGTAAATCAGAGCTGGTTTTAGATAATAGTCCCTACAAATTGTGCTTGGCCTTGTCTTACTAATTCTTTTTTTATTATATTTTTTACTGCCATATTTTCCAAGAACACTTGGATGAGCCTTGTTAAAGTATTACAGTAACATTATAAAAATGTATTAAAAGTATACTGCATCCAGTTTTGGTCTCCACAATATCAAAAACATGTTGAGACTCTAGAAAGAGTGCAGAGAAGAAGAACAGGAATGATTAGGGGACTGGAAGCTAAAATATATGAAGAACATTTGCAGCAACTGGGTATGTCGTGAATGAAAAGAAGGACTGGGGGTGACATAATAGCAGTGTTCCAGTATTTGAGGGGCTGCCAGAAAGAAGAGGCGGTCAAGCTATTCTCCAAAGCACCTGAAGGCAGGACAAGAAGCGATGGAGAGGAGAGAAATCAAGGAGAGATCCAGCCTAGAACTAAGGAGGAATTTCCTGACAGTGAGAACAATTAATCAGTGGAATGGCTTGCCTCCAGAAGTTGTGGGTCCTGCAACACTGGGGGGTTTTCAGAAGAGATTGGACAGCCATTTGTCCGGAATGGTCTTCTGCTTGGACAGGGGGTTGGACTAGAAGATCCCCAAGGTCCCTTCCGGCTTAGTTGTTCTGTTATTCTGTTAAAAATAGCTCAGCAGTAGAATGAAAACTGATATGAATGGGTGTCCAGCAGCAGGATGCCAAGACCCAGATACTACCTTCTGAATACTACCCCTTCTGACCGGGGGTGCCTGTGGCGGCCCGAGTGCTCTGCCAGTGAAAATGGGCTCCTGAACTCCGTTTTCAGCCGCGATTGCCTCCTGCAGGCCAGATTATAAGCACCACACAGGCCGGATCTGGCCCCCGGGCCTTGTGTTTGACACCCCTGATCTACACCTTCTCTGTTGCAGGCATTGGAGTTCCTTGGTCAGTCTAGAACAAGAGTCTTCAAACTTGGCAAGTTTAAGACTTGTGGACTTCAACTCCCAGAATTCCTGAGCTAACAACTGGAGGAGGAATTCTGGGAGTTGAAGTCCACAAGTCTTAAAGCTGTCAAGTTTGAAGACCCCTGGTCTAGAAAGTGATTGAGCGTCATCATGTTGTTGTCTTCTTTCTTTCCATAGTTGATGGATGGAGGATGGCTCCTCTCCCAGGAGCAGAATTGGTGAAGACCCCTTTACAGTTATATCGCTACCTGCTCCGTTGTTGCAGGGTCCTTCCGGAAAAAAACCTCCAGGAACATTACAAGCACACAATCCAACAGGTATGGAGAGTGGCGTCCCCGTGGTTTTCCTTGGCCTTTTCTGAAGTTGATCTGGACCAATATTTCTCGATTTTAGCAATTTGAAGACCTTTGGACTTCAATTCCTACAATTACCCAGCTAGCATTCTGGGAGTTAAGGTCCACTGGTTTTAAATTTCCTGATTAGCACCTGTCTACACCTTCCAATTGTAGAGAGATGGATCTGGGAAACATGCAGTGAGCTTTATGGCTGCATAGAGCTGACCCAGATTCTGGGGTAGCCCACTTTAATTGGTGGTGGTGGAGGTCATGTCCTAGCAACAGAGCCCTCTGTCTCGTTTGCAACCTGTGGTTGGGCAAGGCCAATGTGACATCAAACCAGAGGTGCTATTTAGCCGGTTTACACCTACTCAGGCGAACCGGTAGCAAGAATTTGGCATGGGTCACTGAACCGGTAGCAACATCTAGCTAGCCACGCCCCCAACCTGGTTGCCCTATTTCTGCTCACTCGCTTGCCCCGCCCACCCGATGCTTGCTGCCCCAGTTTAAAGGAGGACTGATCCCCCGCCCTAGCCATGCATTTTCAAGCAGCCACTTGAAAGCACATGACTGTGGGCAGAGCAGTGGTCCGTTAACCTGCAAAACTGTTCCAAGGCTGGATTCTTCGTGGACAGTAGAAGTATCGCTTCCCCTTGTGAGTAAAGTGCCTGGAACAAGAGGGAAAGAACGCTGGGGGAGAGGGGGGGGGGAAATCCAGCCATGGGGAAGTTTGCAGGAGCTTCAAATGCAAGTCCGTTTACCTGCAGAACTTCTCTAATGTTAGATTCACTTCTCCTTGTGAGTAAGGTGCCTGGAGTGAGAGGGAATGAAGGCTGACAGGGGTGTCTGTGTGTGTGTGTGTGTGTGTGTGTGTGTGTGAGAGAGAGAGAGAGAGAGAGAGAGAGAGAAGAAAGAAAGGAAAGAAAGAAGAAAGAAAGAAAGAAAGAAAGAAAGAAAGAAAGAAAGAAAGAAAGAAAGAAAAGAAATAGGGAGAGAGAGAGTGTGTGTGGTGTGTGTGAGAGAGAGAGAGAAAGAAAGGAAGGGAGAGAAAGACAAAGAGACAAAGAAAGAGAAAGAAAGAAAAAGAAATAAGAAGGGAGAGAGAGACAGAGAAAACTCTGTGCTATTATTTTTAATTGTTCCGTTATTTATCATGTGTTAATATTTTACACTGTCCCTACACCTAGAGTGATTCTACTGCCTTTCTTTTGCCCAGGGCTACCACATGTTTTTCAGGGTTTACATGCATTCAATGTCTATAGTCCAGAGCATAAATACATGTGTGTTTAACAGAGTTGAAAGGGAGTTTGGAGGTCTTCTAGTCCAAGCCCCTGCTCAGGCAGGAAAACTGAGGATGCCAAACTCTGAGTAGAGGTCCTGGGAAAGGTGTCAGAATAACACTTAGAAGGGACTTTTGGGGGAACCCTATACCATTTCAGAGAAATGGCTGTCTAGTCTTTTAAAAATTTCCAGTGATTGATCACCCAGAACTTCTGGGGACAAGTAGGTCCACTGGTTAATTGTTCTCACTGTCAGAAAGTTTCTCCTTAGTTTTAGGTTGCTTCCCTCTTTGCTCAGTTTCCATCCATTGCTTCTTGTTTGCCTCCTGGTGCTTTGGAAAATACATCCCCCCCCTCCCCCCATTTTCTTTGTGGCAGCCCCTTAAAAGCCTGTTGCCTATATCATCACACTCTTGAGTAAAGCATGTGAGCCATTTCCTCCTTTCAGTGGTCCATGAAAGTACATCTATAGTTAGCAGATAATAACATCAAAAAAGGTGAACAACATTTTTACAGAACTATAGATAAGTTGAGGCTGGGTGACAAGGAATGGCTGGGAGGGGAGCGGCCAGGTGAGGCACCCCTTGACGTGAGTGACATTGAGTTGGCCACGCCCACCCAGTCACATGACCACCAAGCCACACCCACCAAATAAGCCACACCCACAGAACTGGTAGTTAAAAATTTTGAATTCCACCACTGGATCAAACTCTCCTGTCATGAAAGTGGGGCATGCTTTCAAAAAACCCAGAAGAAACGGAGTCTACAGATGAATCAGAGTTGGAAGGGACCTTGTAGGTCATCTAGTGATAGTCCATCCCTCTGCCCAAGCAGGAGACCCTACACCATTTCTGACAAATAGCCGTCCAGTCTCTTCTTGAAAGTCTCAAGCGCATCACTCCATTCTGATGCTACTTTACATGGAGAAGTCATCTTTGGAGGGTCAGCCTTCTCCAGTTGGATCTTGTGCTTCATTTCCTCCCCCCCTTCCCCCCCCCCTTTATTCTTTACATAAGGTTAAGATTAGGGAGGGGGGGAAAAACCTCCCAGTTGCTATTTTGGTTATCAAAAATAATTTCTGTTGTCAAATGTCTTTCTTCCTTCCGCTTTCACTTGATTACTCATGGTGTGGTCTCTGCTGCCTTAGTGTGGTTGTGCAGATTTTCACACAGCTGAATGAAAAGCACCAGCAGCTGATCTCTCTCTCTCTCTCTCTCTCTCACACACACACACACACACACATACACTTTCTCAGAAGGATCTGTACATGCCTCTGTCACCTCAACGTCTTCGCTTCTCTAACAGCATCCAAGAGCTACCTATTGTTCCTCAGGATGATTCCTCTTGACCTTGTTTCTGAGGTTTAGAAGAGCAACGCAGTGGGACCAATGGTGTTGCAAAATGTATTGATTGTTTGATGACATGAGTAGGCTCAGTGTGGCTTACAAAATCAGAAATGTAATATGGATGGCTTAAAAAAAGGAGAAAAAGTATGGAAAAAGCACCACACGGACCAAACATTTCTCAAGGGGGCCATTACTGCTCTTGCCCAAGGCCTACCTCGGCAACTTCTAAGATTTGTGGGCTGCAATTCCTTGAATTCCTCAGCCAGCATGGCTGACTGTGGCATTCTGGGAATTGAAGTCCACTGATCTAAAAGTTGCCCCTGACCAAAAGGAAGAGCCAGACATGACTAGGGTGGGAGCTAAACAAATCTCATCTTGGTCCAGAGGACAAGTGCTACAATTGAGGAGGCCCGTTTTTGGAGAAACCTATTGGTAACCACAGCAGCTTGCAAAGGAGAGGTGTTAACATCTGTGCATTGTATCCTGTCCATAACTGCCCATGCTTCTGCCTTCTGGACCAAAAGCAGCTTCCAAGCAGCCTCCAAGGTCAGCTCCATCTTGAATAACATGTCTACCTCCCACCTTATGGACAGGAGGAAAGGAGAAAAAAAGGGATGTGTGCATAAACTCTTAAGTTAGAGAATGAGGGTTTCCATGGGGGCTTCCTCCTCTTGCTGGTTTTGCAATCTGCTGTCACCTTTAGGACTAAAAACTTTTTTCATCTCCCTCACCAAGTAATTGAAAATAAAATGAGGTGTGGTTATAAATTGTTCTGGTTATTCCATAATCTGTGGCAAAGTAGTGGTCACTAGGACTCTGGCCCTTTAAAGGAAGGTTTTCATATGCTGTCCATCTCACCAAGCAGTGTGGTGGCCTAGAGGTGGAGCTCTCACCTCACAATCAGGAAGCTGTGAGTTCAATCCTAAGTAGCGGCAGATGTTTTTCTCGCGCAAAGGGAAAATACCTGCTGTGAGCTCCATGTAGGTGCCAGGAAGGGCACCCAGCCTGTCAACGCTCCTTTCAGTCACCACGACCCCATCCCAATGCAAGGGATTAGAGGGTCATTAAAAGAATATATGCCATCCATGTCACCAATAGGTTTGCCCTCACTGTTGTCAGCAATCCAATGAAACTCCCCATTTCATTTTTCACTCAGAAACAAAGTTCATCCAAGTAAAAAGTTTATTAAAGAAATATTGGCACATCTGGGAAAACCCAAATCTCGGAGTTCCAGGTTTTCCCTTCCCAATTCAAAATCAAAAGCCCATCCACTGCATCCACCAGTCCATCACATGGTCCAATCAACCATTGTCCCAACGGGAGATATTCCTTCAGACCAGGGGTCGCCAACCTTTTGGACCTCAGGGACCAACAAACTCATAATTTTAAATCCCGCAGACCAGAGACCCTGGGAAAATCCAAAAAAAAGTCTGCAGGAATATTCCCTACCCCGTGTTCCTACGGATTGATCATTCTTTATTTGGGATCGCAGGATCCTGTCTCCAGCTCCGTTCTCGGAGAGAGAGAGAGAGAGAGAGAGAGAGAGAGAGAGAGAGACTTTTGGCTTCATGCAAGGAAAGCAGCAGAAGTAGCAGAAGCCTTTCTTTCTCTTCCCCCAAACTCTGCCAGAAATGAGTCTTTGTGACACTTGTCACGCCAGCGCAGCCTCTTGGAGCAGGAGGCCTTGCAGGGTCCCAAAGACTCATTTCTAGCGGAGTTTGGGGGAGAGAAAGAAAGACTTTGCTGCTTTCCTTGCGTGCAGCCAAAAGCAGAAGAAGAAAGAAGCGGAAAGAAGCAGCCCGGTGGCCAGGACAGGTGCGTGGGGCACGTTCCCCCCCTCCACCTTTCCCCCCCCTCCCCTCACTACCTCATGTTGTTTGCAATGCAAGCCTTTTGTTCCCGCAGACCATGTGGGCAGGACAGCCTTGTATTCCCACGCAGCCTGGATTAATTGCTTTCTGGGGGGGTGCTTTTGGGGGTAACATTTCTCTGCGGACCACCAAAATTTTCTTGCGGACCGCCAGTGGTCCCCAGCCCTCTGGTTGGCGAACACTGCTTCAGATACTCCTCTCCAGGTGCAGGGAAACTTGTCCTTGACTTTCTAAGAAGGAATGTTGTTGAGTCTAATCTTCCACCTCTCTATGAAATCCCCCCTCCCAAATTCCCAGGCACTAAATGTGGCAGCCTCGAAGCTTCTAAATAAAATGTGGCTTCCGAGGCTGACAACTCTCTGAATTGTCTGAGTAAATATTCTTAACTGCTCCCATCACGAATTGTATGAGCCACTTTACTTACCCTGTGACAAGGATGATTGATTTATATAATTGTTTATTTACAGAGTTTCAAAGTTCACGCTGATGAAGATAGTCCTGAGAGGATTCAGCAGATTATTAAAAGGGCCATCCAAGACGCTGACTGGGTGATGGACAAAGTAAGTGATCTGCATCCTACCATCTTTGCCAAATGTTCAAGGGGGCTGCTCTCCAGCAGTAATCTGGATTCATCTGGCTGTGCAACCGCAATTGAATATCTGTCTCCAAACACTTTAAATCTGGGTCAGGTGACAGCTGTGTTTAGGTAAATAAGAAACACTGCTGTGGATGGTCAGCCATAAGGATCAGGGATTCAAGTATTTTTTATTAATTAATCTATATATATATAAGCAAAATACCACTCACACATCATCACAAAATCTCCAGAACCGTAAAGCCTACAAACTTGAAATTTGGCCCGTATGTTCTTCCTGGCTTCTAGGTGCTCACTAAGAAAGGATTTTTCAAAATGACCATTAGAGCATTAGTATTGCCTATATTATTATTAACACGCTCTGATGCTAAGGAGTTCTACTCCCCCTCCCCACCTAAAAAGAAATCTGTTCCAAATGCAAAACACAAGCAGAGGAGAGGAGTTTCAGTTTTACTTTCATAGCAGCAACTAGCTTTAGTACAGAACAGTTGAGCTAAGCCATGCCCAGGCTCCTTGCTGTCTCCTTGCTGACATAGCAAATACTGTTTCAGTTTCCAAACAGCCCTCAACTCTCTCACACACTGACAGGATGCTAGCCAGATGAATACCGATGGATGCTGGTAGGCAAAGGCAGGATTTTCTTTTCCTAATTTTCCTCCCAAAAACTAATCCCGACCACATAGTTTCGTAGCAAAGCATGGGTATCGAGCTAATCAAACTATAAAATACAAAAATATAAAGAAAAATCAAATCAATTGAAAAATAGAGAAAGAGGGGGAAGAAGGCGGAGCCGCCTTGCTGGCGGACCGTAGATCGTGACTCTCTGCGGCTATGGTCCGCGCTCTTTCGTTGGAGAGCCCCGGTCATTACGATTAGGGGCTGAAGCTGCCTTGGAGGGGTGGCAGAGTAAGGGGAAGCCGCAAGCCAGGTTGAGGGGAGCCGCATCTTCCCTCCTGGGCTTGGTCTTTTTCCCCCCGAAGACGACTGCAGTGGTGGTTTAAAATGGCCACCCTGAAGAGGAGGAGTCAGCTGGATTAAGGTTTGCACAGGAGGGAAGAAAGAGGTGGATAACATCTGAACTAGGACAACTGGGCAATACAACTAAACAAAAGTACCCTGGGATTAAGGTAACACGGAATTTTTAAGAAAAGAAAAGTGAGCGGTGAAATTACAAAGGGACAGGAAAAAAAAAAGAAAATATTTTTGACAGCTAAGTGGGGCTTCGAACCAGGAAAGGAAGAAGCTGGAACTAAAGATTTAACTAAATTGGACTAAAATGTTTTGGGAATAAACAGGCATAAAATAAAGCTGGACTTAAGATTGTCAAAAGATAATAATAATGAAGTTTACAAATTGGAGAATGGACTGTGCTAAAATATTGAGGTTCAAAAACCCCCAATTAAAAAAATAGGGGAAAAAGGTGAAGACTTTGTATAATGGAGAGTGCCACCTTTTGACAAAAACTTGAGCTCAAACAAAAGGGAAAGCATCCTGTTTCTGAATGAACTTGTGTGGATATAACATTAAAGAAATATTGAAACAAAGTAAGAATCTTAGAAAGTGAAAGCAGAGCCAGAATAAAGAAAAAAGCAAGGAAAGACTGACTGGGATTGATTGATGTTTTTGGTATAGACCCTTGGCTGGAATAACTGAGAACTTTAGAAAATTGAGAGAAGAAAGAAGGAAAGTAAAAGTGTTTTTTTGTGGACTTAACAATCGTAAAATATAAGAGTGTGTAATGATGATATCTCTTTGGGAATTAAAAATGGAACTTAAAAATATGAGAGAATTATTACAGGAAAGAGGTGAAATGGCGATTGAAGAACAAGAAGAAAAAGCTTCAAAGGAGGAGGAGTCGATTCAAGGAGAAGACATTTTAAATAGACAATTAACACAAAGAACACTACAAAGAAGTGGGGAAAGAAGGAAGGTTAAAAAGTTGAGATTTAAGAAGGCAATCAAAAGGGGGAATACCTGTGAAGTCAGGAAAGGCAGAAAGACCAGCAGAAAAGAGGAAAGGAAGATATTAAGAAAGAGAGGGATATAAACTAGAATGAGAAAAGATATGGGGAAAAGACGGGGAGGAGAAGCAGTATGAAACAGGCGCATGAAATAAAGAAATATGGAAATAGTAAAATGTTGAAAAGAAATGGTTTTTTCAGAGATAATGGTTGATGAATTAAAAAGGAGATTCTGCAAGGTAACAAGGGGTAATAAGAATATTTCTGCAATTAAAAATATTTAGAAAATAGGGTAATATAGATACTGATAACTCTTATTAAAAATCAAGGAGGGAAAATATGCTGCAGAATCCAAATGAAAAGTTGTAAGGATTGTTATGTAACTTCTTAAAAATAATTGTTATGTAACTTCTTAAAAAGAGGCTAGAATTAATGTGTTTCTCTCCTTACCGAAAATTTGGAATGGAAAAGGTAATAATAGAATTAAGTATGCATATATGAATGTATAATTGCTGTCATATTTGTATGCAAAGGTGATGACCTGGAAATATGTTGTCCACCAAAAAGAGATTTTTGTTTTTAATGTGAAAAACTGAATAAAATTTGTTATAAAAAAAAAAGAAAAATAGAGAAAGAAAAGGGAGAGGGAAAAAAGTGTGAGATAAAAGGAAGAAAAATAGAAAAAGCATTGACTTCTAACTCCTTATGGCACAATAGAATAAGATAATAACATACTTCAACTTTTTTATTTTTATATAGTGATATAACCTAGCCATTTTTTTAAACAACTAACCTACCTAAACAGCTAAACCCAAAATCAAAGGTTCATTTTTTTTCCATCTCAAGCACAAAGTCCAGAAGTGGTTTCCAAAAAGAAACGAAATTAATTGTACTGTTTTCTTTAACCAAAGCAGTCAGTTTAACAGTCTCTGCTAACTCCATAAACTTTTGCAGCCATTCTCCCATTGTGGAAATCAAAGTATCCATCCATTTCTTTGTGCGTGAAGTAATCTTGCTGCTGTCAGCATAATATAATAAACCTTTGGAGCATACAAACTACAGGTTAATGGGATAACAGAAATAACTATAACAGAACCAAACCAAGGCCGAGCAACGCATATTTCATTCAAGGCTCTTACAGTCTGTACAGCAGCGTTTCTCAAGCTCAGCAACCTTGAGATATGTGGACTTCAACTCCCAGAATTCCTCAGCCAGCAAAGCTTGAAGTCCATCTTAAAGTTGTTGAGGTAGAAAAACATGGCTAGGTAGACTCATCTCATTATCTGACCCAAGGGGAAGAACAACCAGGTTTTTAGAGCCTTATGGAAGGACAGAAAGGCCTCGGCTATCGGGGGAATGATATTTCATAGGGCAGGTGCTGCAGCAGAGAAATAAATATCGTAGGCCAGAGTCTGTCAGAGCAATATTTCTCAACCTCGGCAGCTTTAAGATGTGTGGACTTAGCTGGCTGGGGAATTCTGGGAGTTGAAGTCCACACATCTTAAAGCTGCCACAGTTGAAAACTGCTGTGCCAGACCATTCATGTACAGGTGAAACTCGAAAAATCAGAATATCATGCAAAAGTTCAATTATTTCAGTAATGCAACTTAAAAGGTGAAACTAATATATGAGATAGACTCATTACATGCAAAGCAAGATAGTTCAAGCTGTGATTTGTCATCATTGTGATGATTATGGCTTACAGCTCATGAAAACCCCAAATCCACAATCTCAGGAAATTAGAATATTACATGCAATCAATAAAACAAGGATTGTACAGAGAACAATATCGGACTTCTGAAAAGTATAAGCATGTATATGTACTCAGTACTTGGTTTGGGCCCCTTTTGCAGCAATTACTGCCTCAGTGCGGTGTGGCATGGAAGCTATCAGCCTGTGGCACTGCTGAGGTGTTATGGAAGACCAGGATGCTTCAATAGCGGCCTTCAGCTCTTCTGTATTGTTCAGTCTCATGTCTCTCATCTTTCTCTTGGCAATGCCCCATAGATTCTCTATAGGGTTCAGGTCAGGCAAGTTTGCTGGTCAATCAAGCACAGTAATCCCACGGTCATTAAACCAGGGTTTGGTGCTTTTGGCACCAATTTTTTGAGTTTCACCTGTAGCTGATGCTTCACCCTGTGCTTAAAAATCTCAAACATAGCAGCAATAAAACATGTCCCAATACAAGACAATATCTGTAGCTCAGCGTAAAGAGTGGAGTCCTCGGTGCTCTTTGTGCTTCTTCGTTTGCTTGCAAACAATTCATTACCCAACTAGGAAATGATGATGTTATCCAGTTGGGTAATGAAATGTCTGCAAGAAAACAGCCAAGTTGAGAAAGCATCGAGGACCTCTACAATAAAGCATGGGCTTGTTATCCAACCTGCTGTGCTTCCCAGGTGTGGGAACTCAGTTCCAGCTGAGTTGGCTTTCTTTTGAACAGTTGTCATTGGGACAAAATGGCACATGAATGACAGAAAAATGACTGATGGGTGCCAGAGTTCTCACGCAGACAATGAAAACTAACGTAATAGTAAATAGGTTGGTTGCCAAAACAGGACAGATGAAAACAAGCTGAGGACACTAAGCATTGTTATTTTGGCCTTTGATTTGGGAGAAGACAGGATTTCTTCAAAGAGTTGCTAAACAGATCCTTCAAATATGAATATACAGCTAGTCCTCAACTTACTTAGTCCTCAACTAAGTCTTTCGTTTAGCGACAATTTGAAGTCACAACAGCACTGAGAAAAGCGACTACGACCATTTTTCAAACAACTGTGACAGCATCTCTGTGGTCACATGATCAAAATTCGGACACTTGGCAACTGGCATGTATTTATGATCTGGGGTCATGTGATCATCTTTTGATGGAGCAAAGTCAATGGGGAAGCCACATTTACTTAACCACCATGTTACTAACCTAACGGTTGTGACTCACTGTACAACTGATGCAAGAAGAGTCATAAAATGGGACAAAGTTCACTGAACAACTGTCTTGCTTAGCAGCAGAAATTTTGGCCTCAGTTGTGCATAAGTCTGCCTGTATACTCCACCCCATCTTTCCCACTTCAAATTCAAATTGTTGCATTATACTGTTGAGCCGTTTATGAATATAACAAGCTTTATAACTAAACTGTGGGATTAGTCTGGTTGGCTTTGTTTCAGTAACATGCTGGTACAATATGCCAGTTTGGCATTAACGTTGTTTTCATTTTTGTGTGTGTGCCTAGCTCAGAGGTCTACAAACTTGGCAACTTTAAGGCTTGTGGACTTCAACTCCCAAATTCCTGGGAGTTGAAGTCCACAAGTCTTAAAGTTGCCAAGTTTGGGGACCCCTGGCCTAGCTTGTTTTATGAATGTAACCAAACCATCCAGGTTTCATGACTAACTCCAGTACTTGGTCTGAAGACCACATGCTAGTTTGACAGGTCTCATAGAAACTTTGTACTTGAATGATTTTTATATAAACTTAATAAAATATTACACAGATAGATAGATGATAGATAAGGTAGCAAGTTAGCTAGGTAATAGGTGTATAGGAGAGGGGGGAGAGAGAAGCTGTTGGGATTGGTCTATTAATACTTAACTGATTATAAGATGGTAAAGATTAACTATGAGTATTGTTAATACACAATACTAATTTCCTTTATTAATATCCATCTTTGGGCTTTTCTTCCCTCTCTTCCTTCCACCCTTTCCCCTTTTAGTATAAGAAACCAAAGTAAAGGAGAAACAGTTGATGGAGACATGAAGATCGTTTCTTAAAGCAATTAGAGTGAAGAAACCAGTTTGTGACAGTAGTTGGTTCACTGGAAGAGGAGAGAACGTAGTTGGTTCACTGGAAGAGCAAGCTACTGGCATTTAAGAACTTCTTTGCTATTGAAGGTCAACTTTTAATAAATAAGGGGTAAGCTGTCTAGAGCAAGTGATCTTTAGTAACTGAATTTTCTGGGTTGAAATAACATGGCCTTTACAGGGCTGGGAGCAGGAGTCATCATGATGTTGCATTTCCAGAAGACACATTCAATTTTTCCACAGGCTTTAGATCCATGGTCTGGTTTTAGTCATAGTTTACATTGGTAGCATGTTGGTAGCATGCAGGAAAATGGATTAATTTTGAACCAAGGGCTGCTCTTTCCCTGGAAGCTGTATTAAAATCAAATTTTGATTTGCCTCAACTGCTGATTTCGTTGCCTTGATACTCTGTGCCATACATTCATCCTTTCCATTCATTTCTCTAGAATATCCACTTTAAAAAAAAATAGCATTCTTCTTATTTTTTGGATAAATGGTATCTTGATACTGAGAAGTGAAGTTCTGGGTGTTCCAACATTGGAAGCTTTTAAGAACAGATTGGACAATGATTTGTCTGAGATGCTATGGAGTTTCCTGCCTGAGCAGGGTGTTGGACTAGAAGACCTCAAAGGTCCCTTCCAACTCTGTTATTCTGTTATCAAGGGGATGCCTAAGCCACCTTGGCTTCCTGAGGAAAAAGGTGGGTGTATATCTAAAAAAATAAAAGAAATCGCTGGAGGACCGAGTGTATTTTGCAAAAGTACCAGGAAACATTGTGCAACTGAGCTGCAGAGCGAAAACAATAAAGCAAGCGCCTGAGAAAAGGTGGCCTCAGAGTTGCACCATGTTGAATTGAGGACCGGAGAGGTGGAGGCGCTCCTTTTCCTCGGCTGTGCAGAGGGTGCTTCGTTTCCAGCAGATGTTGCCATCTAATTATATTTTGCAAGTCAACGACACACAAAATTACAGAAGCCAGAGAGATTGAGCATATCTTGGATTTTCTGGAAGGGGAATAAAGAGAATGTTGTTGATGAGTGAAGTCCAAGGGAGATAAGGTTCCAAATTGGCCCATCTAGCGTGGCATTCTTTGTACGAGAAGCGGCTACGTTCTTTTTTTTTTTAGGCGTCTGCTAAGAGAACGGGGGCCCAGATCTTCTCCTCGCTTTGTTTTCTGTCCACATTCCTTTAGAACTCAAAGCCTGAAGTCCTTTTTCCCCCCCAGGATGTCTGTTTCTCAAACAACACTCAGGCGTCTCTGGGGTAGGACAAAGATCAAGTGCAGGTAGTCCTCGACTTATGACCACAATTTTTTTGGAATACGTTTTTTATTTCTATAAATACATTATTGTGTGAACAGTGTGGTTCCAGGTCATTTGACATTTTAAAACAAACATGACCATACTTTCATATTCATACTATTAACTTTCTTATCTAATTTAGTAGTACTGTGTATTATCTATTTTTATCATTCAATATTCTCATATCCTACTTTATATCAAACTCTATATTCTTAATATTTCTTTTGTTATGCATATTCTCTTAATAGTCATATTTGCAGAATTTAACAAGTTATATAATTCAATCATTCAAAAATTCATATTGATTTATATTGTTCAGTATTCATCCCCCTTTTTAATATTAATTATGATTTTTAAAGCAAAGTCCCCTTCTAATCTCATTGTAATACACAGATCGTAATTTCCATCTTATTTTCATTTAACAAATTATACATTCTAATAATAATATAATCATTTCTATTACCATATACTATATTGTTTTTCTTTCTATCATATTCCACATCTTTCCCCACAATATCATGTTAATTTGACTTACGACCGTAAACAAACCTCAATTTTTTGTTGTTAAGTGAGACATTTGTTAAGTGAGTTTTGCCCCATTTTAAAACCTTTCTTGCCTCAGCTGTTAGGTGAATCACCGCAGTGGTCCAGTTAGTAACCCAGTTGTTAAGTGAATCTGGCTTCCCCTTTGACTTTGCTAGTCAGAAGATCACAAAAGAGATCACATGACACAGGAACCATCATAAGTATGAACTAGATGCCAAGCATCTGAATTTGGTTCACATGCTCATGAGGATACTGCAAAGGTTGTAACTGTGAAAAACGGTCAGCGGTCACTTTTTTTCAGTGCTGTTGTAACTTTGGACCAGTAGTGGGATTCAAATTCTTTTACTACTGGTTCTATGGGTGTGGCTTGATGGGCATGGCAGGGGGAGGATGGTGCAAAATCCCCATTCCCTCCCCACCCCACTAACCTGCTTTCCAGCTCCGTTCTCCTGTGCAGGGCAACCAAAGAAGACCCAGCCGATCAGCTGGGACTCAGGAGGCAGAGGAGAGATGGAGGCGGGGCCAGTCAAAAGTGGTATTTGCCGGTTCTCCGAACTACTCAAAATTTCCGCTACCGTTTCACCAGAACTGGTCAGAACCTGCTGAATACCACCCCTGCTTTGAACGGTCACTAAATGAACTTGTAAATCGAGGACGACCTATATAGTTCCTCCTGCTGTAGATCAGCTGGCCATAACAGTGTCACAATACATGATGTTCTTTTGCACATCTTCTGAGGGTTAGCATAGGTTGTTGTAGATTATCTTCCCAGCTCAGGTCATTATTGTGGGTCTCATGTTGAGCAATAATTCTAAATGTTAACTGTTGTAAGTCGAGGACTACCTGACATCAGTAGTTTCTCAAACTGAAAAACCATAAACCATGGTTTACTAATAACAGTAAATAGTAATGAAACTGTTTCCTATTCTGTGCTTAAGCCATAACCCATCAAAGCAGAGAGGGGAGGAGAGAGAAAAATCTGTGTAATTGCTAGAAGTTAAAAACAACTTCATGGCACATGATCCATCAATGCTTAGTGCGAGGCGAGACCCATCCATGACTGTTGTAAGTCGAGGACTGCCTACGGAGGAAGGAAGAGTGATCCCCAAATTTCTAAAGAGCTTTTGTGGCCGAGTGGGAATTTGACCACCAAACCTAACAGTCCAAGTCCAGTTCATCCTGCATTACACTAACTCTTAGGAAAAGATAGGGGTGGTTTGAAGATGATGTCAGGTTTTCCTATCCTCCAGAAATTGGGGATGAGGAAGGGAGACCCCACATCCCAGGGGCAAGGATGTATAGATAAGCCCTGCGTGTCTAATCATATCTGACTCATGCACTTCCCTCCTGACCTTATGCTGCTAACGTCTGGCTATAAATATAAGTTATAAGGTTATCAGCATAATGATGTAATTGTGGTGAGCAGACATGTGGTGGGGATGTTTGTAGTGTTTACCCTGGTAACTCAAAAATTAGGCTTGTGTTGTTTTTTTAATACCAGGCGACCAGATTAAAGTATTGGCAGTGTCTTTCTCACCATAAGTGGGTGAGACACCTTTACAGTAACGTCTTTTCCAACTGGAGATGCCAAGATTGAATGAATTTAGGGAGTAAGGATAACAACAATAGCAAAAACAATAACCCGCCCTGTTTTTCCTTATTTGCTTTTAACAGGTGGCCTTGTTCTGGGCTTAGTAGCTGAGCAGGAATAGGCCTGTTTACTAGTTGGATGGAAGACTACAAAGAAATCCCAGAGCTATAATGGAAAGGGAAAAGATTGAAATGGTTAATTATGTCCATCTTGTGATTAATGATGGCTGCCAAGTCCTATGTCAGGGGTGTCAAATCCAATGTCATTGAGGGCTGCATCAGGGTTGTGTTTGACCTTGGGGGACCAGGGTGAGCGTGGCCAGCTCAAAGTCATGTCGGGGGCACCTGTGGTGGCCCAAGTGCTCTGCCAGCAAAAACAGGCTCCCGAGCTCCATTTCTGGTTGTGACAGCCTCCTGCAACCCTTTGCCAGCAAAAACAGAGCTCGGGAGGGCTGTGCGCAGCCCTCATGAGCTCTGTTTCTGACTGCAATGGCCTCCTGCAACCCTCTGCTAGCGAAAACAGAGCCCAAGAGGGCTGCAGAAGGCCCTCCCAAGCTCCATTTTCACAGGCAGAGGCACCGCGGGCCAGTCCTTTGCTGTTTCCACCCCAGGGGGCGGATCTGGCCTGTGGGCCCTGAGTTTGACACCCCTGCTAATAGGTAGTTCTTGACTTACAATCACAAGTGGGTATAGAACATCATTGTTAAAAACATTGTGGTTGTTAAGTGAGTCATGCCTGATGTTACAACCTTTTTTGCCATGGTTGTTAAGTGAATCACATGAGTCATTAAGCATATTTGGCTTCCCCTATTGACTTTTCTTGTCAAAAAAAAAAAAAACCTGGAGAGAGCATAAATGGCGATCACATGACTCTGGGATGCTGCAACATGATGGCTGCCAAGTCCTTAATTTTGATCACGTAACCATGGGAATACTGCAACAGTCGTAAGTGTGAGGACTGGTCATAAGTTACTTTTTTTTTTCAGCACTGTCGTAAGTTCAAAAGGTAGTCTAATGGATGGACCTGTATGCCATCCACTGTATGATGGCTTTCACTCTTTTTATTGAGAAATGGAGATTTTTTTATAGAGAATAATTTAATATAGAAAATAACAATTGCATAAGGGAGGCAATGTAGATAAGCTCTAGAATTCAAACTATGATTAAATAATAGTTTACCATTTATAAGATTGCAAAACCACAAAAAGGTCCTATGAAAGGAGTGGAATAAGGCAAGAACCATGTGTGAATTGAAGAAATATATAGTGTTCACAACCTTTTAATGATTCTTTATGAATTCGATTCCTTCATGGTTAAAAGGCTGTTTCAAACTAATTGTCTCTGATAAGAACGAGCCTTGCCAAGGTTGTGCAAGGCTGCCCAGAGTACTAGATAAAGTTACTAAGAAATATTTCAAACACAAAGAATCTCCAAACACCAGCCAAGATACTCTGAACGTCCACAAGGCTTGAGTGCAAAAACTTATTTGCTTCCTGCAAAGAACTCCGGTTTCTCAGTTGGCTTTTATCTCTTAAGGGGGGGGGACATTACCTTGCAGCCTTACTCCCGAGTTGCCTGTGCTGCTGCAGCTGATCTTTCCTTTCAGCACAGGCTCCTCGGGGACCTCTTCATCACTGCTGCCAGCCTGCACAATCTCCAAAGGCAGCATTCCACTCCCTGATGGTCCTGGCCCCATCCCTTCATCACATGCAAACCCCTCATCTGAGTCCTCGCTCTCCAAGACCTCAGCCGTCCGCACCAGCAGCCAGCGAACCACAACAATACAGAAGGGGAGGCACTCCACAAAAGGGGGGACATAATAGCTATCTTCCAGTATTTGAGTGGCTGCCACAAGGAAGTGGCAG